GTTGTGTTGACAGCTGTGGTGGCGTCTCAAACGGAATCCCATCGTTTATTTATGCGCTCCGGCAGAGGCATCACTCCGACCTATTCTCTATGGCCTTCCCGATCGCCTGCCATTTGGATTGCAACACCTCCTTCCCCCTGCGAGTCCTTTACCACCGAATCTTTTCCCCTTTCCCCCCAAAAGGCCCGACACAATGGGGATCTTAATCAGGCTGGCATCTAAATGCGGCTCAAATTGAATAATGAATGCAAAGTGGCTGGCCTGGAAGTATTTGAGAGGCTAACTGCTAAAGGGTTGGGGGATCCAAATGAATGGGAGTTCGGGTGGAGTAGGGGATGATAGATGGTTGGATGGGTGGATGGGTGGAGGGGTACGGGGGCTACACACTTGTTAGGTGGGCGTGGCTGGGGCTGCTCAATGAAATGCATTAAATCAAGGCATCGTTGAAAGGACTCAGCAGGTGTACTGGGGGGGTTCCGCCCCCCAAAACTAGTCAACGAAATGGAAATTTTCCCACTGGGCTCTCTCGATTGGGTAAGTGGGGTTCTCGGCCGTAAACATCAATTACGCCGCCCAAACTATTCACGCGATTAGCCGCGTTTTCTAGTTATTGGATAATAGCACCCAAGCTAGGGGTGTGGTGTACCAGGGGTTTCGAAGGGGGAAGGGGGAAGAGAAGAATCCAAGGGATCCAAGAGAATGGAGTGGGGAGCTTACGCTGAATTGAATTAACGGCCACGTTGTCTACGCCGGACTGTGGCGCTGTAAATTTCCAGTAGTGCATCTGATAAACTCGACATCGAGGCCCCAAAACATTCAGCCGGTAGACGAATCGGAATCGGCATCGGGAAAAGCAGCAAAAGAAGGACAAGAAGAACAAGGATCTGCGGGGAGGTAAGCACTTTAGTCAGGAGCAGGAGCAGCCGGCAGGACGAGCAACGTGGCCAAGAGCAGGCACACTCGTAGACGTAGAGTTATTTCAGCGAAACAAGAAATGTAAAGCAGACAGAGACAGACAAAACGACTCAGATTGGCACTGAGAGAAAATTGTGGGTATAATATCAGAAAAAATATCAAGTAACTATTAAAATACATATGCAAAGAAGGATATCTTTAGCTTCAATCTCATAAATAAAATGTTTGAATTAATATGTTAAATTAAAATTATACTATTGGTCTTCCTCTTTAAACAAGCCATAAATTAAATAATTGTATTAAGCTTTCATGAAATTTGACAGGTCTATCGAACAACACAGCCTCCTGTTTAATATTAAATATAATCTTAATGTACTGTCAATGCAGCCCAGAGCTAACATCCATATTTCACACTTTCAAATTGACTTCCTAAATATGATTGATGCTTTCAAGATGAAAGTCTTAATATAAATTTACTTTTTCGTTTAAACAACTTAAATTTGGAATGCTGATTGCGGTGGTACTCAAATTTATTTATTTATTTCCTAATAAATGACTGAATAATCTATTCTGACATGCCACTGGATTATTTTATTCCTATGTGATTAATAAAAGGGTTATGATTTAAAGTAGTGAAATGAGATATGATTTTGTTTAGCTTTCAAAATATTAATTACTCCGCTATGATGAACGTTTATAAGTCAATTTAAATAGCCAAAAAATAACCTTTTGGTTTGTTCAATCTTTAAATTAACCTAATTTCTTGTTCTCCGACTTATTGAAAGTCATAAATTCAATTATTTATGAGAGAGCTTTGAATAAACTCGTACCTGAACCTTGAACAATTTTATTTTAATTTGCCCTTAGAAATTCTTGAGTATTTGCCCGGAATAAATTGACTATTAACATCAAGACTCATATTTCCCCCTTTGACTTGGTGAAAATTAGTTTAATTTATATAAATCGCTTTAAGGGGAGCTTAAGTTTTACATGTACTTATATTGCCATCGTAAACTAAGCATTCTTGATATATTTAGTTTTGCAACACATTTTTTTTTGCACTCGGACTAATTGAAAATCAGGTATTCATTTATTTTTCAGAGCGCTTTGAATAAAATCTTGCAACTGGGCGAGGGAAATAAAATTTAAAGTTCGAGGGTCCTTTTGGAAGGAAGCCCTTGAATTTTTGGCCGTGTGATGGGGGGAGTTTATTGCTGTGCTCGCCGCTTCTTAGTGCTGCCTTGGTTTGGTCTTAAAAGCGAAAAGCCATTTGTATTCATTTGAAATTAATTTAGCATTCATTCAAGGCAACGGAAGCGGGCTCAGTCCGCTTTCACCCCCTTTCACCCCGGCACCTCTGACAGTCAACTCTACACCCAGATCTCAATCCCCCCTCCCCTCCTTTTTGGCCCCGCCTCTGGGACAGCCCCCCATTCGCAGTGAGCAATAAATGGCGTCGGCGAGCTAAGCAATGGATAAATACGTGTACGTGGCATACATTTCACTGGCGACGACGTCTCGTGGGCCATGCCCACTTTCGCTTATCGATAAGCAGTTGCAGACAGAGCTTTAGAGGGAGAGCTTACCCCCCTCCTCGCCGCACTTTCTCCCCCCCTTTTCCCCCACTCTGTGGAAAGGAACCCCATCTCCTGTGGAGCTGGCAATTGAAACTACCACAATGCACAGGCAACGACAAGGCCTGTGCTCCACTAATTTTAACAAATTAATTGGCAACAATAAATTCCGTGGCGAAAAGGTGAACAGATAGGATCTCAGCGGGCGGTCGACATGGGCGTGGAGCACGGAACTCGGAGGGGGTGGATAGATTGCTCCACTAATTTGATTTCTTGAATGGGCCGGCAAGCGTTAAGTATCGCCACGGAGTCGATATATTCCGGATAGCCAGATACCCAGTAGGCGGGGAGTTTGACCCCGCGGACAGGCGAAACAAATTAACGATTTTATTTCAGGATGTACATTAAAAGTTTAGAGCAACTTTGTTGCGATAATTACCTGCTCAGTCAGTTATAATTAAGAAGGGAAGCTTTTGGGTTTGATTTTTTCATTTAGTTGTTTTTCAGATGAACAGAATAGATAAAATGCTAAGGAAATAAAATGATAAAGAATTTGAATTTCCATTCCAATTGGAAAAAAATGTTGTATTTTTTTTGAGAAACCTTAAGACAAAACAATTTTCATGTATTTCAAAAGGTTGAAGGGTTATTTTTATTTATTCCTCCTTTTTGTTTTAATTTATTTGGGGCATTTAAAATAATCTTCACATTACAACGCCTCAAATAAAATGAGATAATATTAAATACCCAAAGCGTTACATTTTCTCTGTGTTTTGTTGACCTGATTGCGTGCCAACTTAATTATGGAATTTGTAAGCTGGCTAAATGCTAAGCGGGGTTCCGCCTTTATTCTGGTCAACTCGTTGTATTCCCACTTCAATTGTTTGCAAATGGAATTCTATAATCAAATGACAACTCACACTCACACTGGTACATAGACATGCACACACTTCTGCCAACACACATGCACATTTGGGAGGGAGAAAACAACTTTAATCATTTGTAATGGCCGCTAGGTGGCGTGTCAATTACAGGACCATTGTCTGTCAATTTTCTGTTGCAATGGCTCGCTTTGTCCCCCATCTCGCTATCTCTTTCGCTGCCGCAGTACCTGTCCCTGTCTGTCTGGGTGATGCTGTCCCTTTCTCGACGCCAGGCTCATTTGCATTGCGATGTTTTGAGGCCTACAGGGCATTCCACAGTCAAGCACACTCGACTTTATCGGCTTCCTACCGGGTGGGCATTTTATTTATGAGCTCGTAAGGCATGCGTTGAAAAGCCCGTTCCGAGTATTCTGCCAGTGGGTGGGGTAAAGCAGGGGAGGTGGAGGTGGGGTTGGTTGGTTTTTGTATGTGTGGGTGGTGTACTTGGGCGGCTACGCTTTCGACGGCCACATTTGCGGGCCATAACACGCAACATTTGACATGGCCGGCGCAACAACGAGGTACAGGTGTCGGTCGTACTCCTTAACACCCATCAACCACCCAAAAAAAGTACCCCCCACCCCCCCAACCCACCAACCCCTTCCATCCTCAATCAGAACCCGAACTGGAACCCCAACTCAAACCCCAGCCCATTGAAGGCCCCACAAATCTCTCTCGAGTGCGACGCATGGACATAAACCGAAATTGGCCTATAACTGTCTGTTCAATTGTTTCTGCGCGGCTGGGGGTTCGATGGCGATGGAGAAAAAAGGGATCCACATCCACATGACCGCCTATACCTATGACTATGCCTATACCAATATACCGTTATACCTATATATTGCGGTAAAAATCACATTTTCATGGAACGGCGTAAATCATTCATGTGCGAGCAGGAGGAAAAAGTTACGCGGGGGAGAGCTGGAATGAAAAAAAGCGAAAAAAGGTATTGGGCCTGTGCCCCGAAATGTAGACTATATTAATATGCCAAAACGAAGGCGTCTCTACTACGAATATTCATTTGTACGTGACTATGGAGCATATTAGGTTCGTCTGGCCACGATTTGCACTCGGATTTTGTTTCGTTGCTCGGATACTCGGATTCTCGATTCTCGAATGTCGGGTGTCGCGGGTCGTGTGTCTCGCATTGAGGCAGGTTGTGCTAATAACCCAGATAGTGAGGCGAAAGCCAGAGAGCCATGTCCTCCGTTGATGGAGAGCCAGGCGATCCGACTTGGCGGTTGGCTACGGGGAAAAACCAAGGAATAAACGAGTCGAGCTGAGAAAAATAATAAGAAGAAAAAAAAACAAGCGAAAACCCTTGCCTTAAAAATAAAACTGCTCATTAGGCATGCAAAGAAAGCGGCAACAAATGGATGGCAAATTAATATTTGATATGCTCTGTCGTTCAAGGAAATCCTCTCTCAGCCTCGCAGGTCCTTTTCTGCTTCGGCGCAGGATAAACAGAGGAGAGAGAGAGAGAGAGAGAGAGGGAATCCTTTTTCGGAGTTCCCCCGTTTTTTCGGAGTCGTTGTGCGAGTCCTGTAGCCTCAACAAGATAGACACGGAATCAGTTCCAGCACGCGAATCCTGCCGCAAGGATGCCCGTGCACGCTGCTCCGCCGCCGCCGTCGGAGTTTCACTCAGTCGATCAGGGAAGAGCAAGTGTGGAGGAAAAGGGAAAGTGCCACTGCCACCGCTGCTGCCACCACATCGCATCGCATCGCATCGCATTGTGCCACATTTGAAAATGAAAACAGACGAACGAATGAAGTGAATGGAAGGCGAAGGCACCAGCCAAAAGCCGTTTAATAACTAAATCCCACGGAGCCATCGCTGGTCACGTTTACGTTCCGTTCCGAGACGGATACACAAAATGCCCCGCCTCTCCGCGTCGCCCCCTCTGCACTTGTGTGTGTTCGTTGTCGTCGTCGTCGCTGTTTCGGTGTGTCGGTGTTAGTATTGGTGTGAGTGCGGTGTGCATACCTATAGGGCTAAAAGGCTGACTGGTTCACAGGCTCACTGGCTGGCTCACTGGCTGACTGGCTGGCTGACTGGCTGGCTGGCACCTAATGTGGCCAACATTCACATACACACATCGTCGAATATATTAATACAAAGCCCGTCGTCCTCGCCTCGCTGTCATCGTGTGCGTGTCCGCATCCGTATCCGCGTTTGTTGTGCGAGTGTGTGTATGTGTGTGGGTCCTTGGTGTCCCCCTTCTGTCCATTTCCGCCGAACGGAAATATTTTCAAAATTCGCGCTTCTAAGCCACACACGCACAGACCCAAAAATAAAATAGGGCCAACTTAAAAGGGGGCCAACTTAACAATTGTCGAACGGATTGATTGGTGGAACGGAGTGATTGGTGAATTGTGTCTACCGTGTACTGTGTGTGTGTGTGTTGCGTGTGGCATTGTGCCTGGTCGGAATGCCTGGTCATTGTGCAACTGTTGAATGAGCAATGCGAGACCTGCTGCCTAATTATTGCGCATTGCGCAATCGAATGTCAAAGCCGAGACCAAACGTTACGCAGTAAACGTAAAGCAAAAGTAAAGCCCTGCCACAAGGATTGGCCGTCAAAAGGCCTCAGCAAAGGACTCAGCAGGATTCCCGGAGCGGGGGAGAGGATGACGTTGGTGTCATTTGGAAGTCATTGCCGAGACCCGTAAGTGAAGGAATTTAATTTAATGCGGCCAGAAGGACTAGCGGGAAAAACAAACAATAAATTGGGTCCTGTGGTCGCCCTTTTGTCCGCCCCTTCCGTTTGACAGGTTTTCCATGAGGGGGCAAAAAAGTTGGGGAAAAGAACAACAGAATAATGTTGTTCGCTGGCCGGATAAAAAAACTTTTGTTTAATTTCCAAGGAGAGCAAAAGAGGGGGAAAGCAATGGGGGTTTTGGGGGAACTCGGCTAGGCGATAATTCCGCTGTAATAGCTGCGAAAAAATGAAGCGAGCCAACCTTTTTTTTCGGTTTTTTATTTATTTGTTGCCTTTTCCAAGAATCGAGAACCGAGAAGCGAGAACCGAGAACCAGGAACCTGGCAACCAAAAAGCCGTCGGCTGAAAGGCCAAAAGTGACCAAAACAAATGGGCGGCGAGCGGAGAGACCGAAAACCGGAGTGCTGACCCTTGGAGTCACGCAGCTAATTGGACTGACAACAAATGTATATTTTTGAGTAATGACCGGGATTATGAAAGACCGTTCTAGGACCACCGAACCCCTCCCCCTTTCCCCCTTTCCCCCTTTCTTTTCTTCTTGGCCAGCGACTGACTGATTACTCAGTTGGAGTCATAAATAATGAGAGGAACACCCGAGGAGCAGACGAGGCAGCCATGGCTGCAGACTGACAAATTTACCAAGGAAGGAAGGCAGGGAAGGAAGGAGGCAGGAAGACCGAAAGCAATATCGAGTTTATCCAGATAAAACTATATAGTTGACAAGGTCGTTTAGCCAGGAGCTCAGCTTGTGAAACTTTTTAATTTCATCCTTGACGAAGTTTTCGACTTTTGCCTTAGTTTACCATTCAGCGGGAATCCCCCCTTGCTTTTGGCGTCCTCCGTAATGGTTCTAGCCACATTGCTATGGAATATGCTTATAGCCTGATCCTCCTTTCTCCCCCTTTTGCCATTTAACTTCACCCCTTGGGTCATGCAACTGCATTTGCTGCTGTGGCAAATTCGAAACGCATTTTGCTGCCTGGCAACCAAAGTTGCAACCAAGACCAAAAGTTGGGGCCACATCCGGCATTAACCTCATTAACCCGACATTCAGACGAATTCCCATGAGTCCCCCGTTGGCGATTCCATTTGCGTCTGGATATTGGGAGAAATTTCCTCTTGTTCTGTTAATTGGAATTGCGGTGCAGTGAGCTCAATAAATATGAACACATAAGTCGACGTAAATCAATAAATAATGTTCAATCGCCGGAATCTGGAGGAGATCCGGAAAATAATAATAATGTGAGCAATTGGTTCGAGCTTGGGGAATAATTTGTCTATAATATACATTCTTGGCTCTCGGAAAACGCAGCTGGCTGTTTGGCTAACAAGTCGATTGCTGACCTAGTTATTAAACTAATTTCATTCGATAATTTACCCAGTGCGCTACAATACTAATTCAATTAGAGAGCCAGATAATGGCTTAATTTTTTTTTGAATAATCTAACCAATTTGAGCTTTCGGTTTTATTGAAAATTACGTCGAGTAATTGGATTGGCTAGTTTTGTGAAAAAGATCCAAGATAATATTTTCAATAAATAAGAGCGAAAAATGCCGACTTTCCAACATTTTGTTTATGAATTTAATTAGGTACTATTTTATTTTTATATTTTCCCAACTAAAAGTCAAAGAAAACCATTTTATTTGAAATTAAAAGGCTGTTTTTATGGTTTTATTGGCGTATTTATGAAGCTTTATCGTTATTATTCAATCTTTTGGCGATTCTAAGAGCAATGAAACGCACTGTATTAAACAATTGCCGGATGGCCAGGCAATTTCCCCATTTGAGGCGGAGGGAAGCATATTGGCTTGGCCCACTCCACGCAGGACACTGGCCATCATATCCTGCACATATTTCTGGGCCCCATCATTTGCCCGGCAAATTACTTTCCCATTCCCTCAGCTCGTTTTTCCCAGCTTTCCCAGTGGCGAGCGTCCTCCCTTTGCCGTTGGTCCTATAAAAAGCGCTGGTAATAATATTTCCTCCTTTGCAGATTATTAAACCTTAAACCGTAAACGGAGCAAATCCAACAGCCGGCAGGAGCGGAGGACTCCCGGCCCTCCTCCTCGTCCTCGACTCCTCCTCATCATCATCTGAGTAGAAGCAGCAGCAGTCCGAGTGGAGAGCATAAACCATGTGGACGACCGACTGCCCCAAAGCCTTAAAAGCGATTTGCCTGGTGCCGCTGTGGCTGGTTCTGCTCCTCGGTGAGTTTAATACCAATCGTTAATAGCCCTTCTTGTTGCAGTGAAAAAAGCCATGAATTCCATGAAGGGGGAGCGAAAAAAAAGAGGAATGCTGGGCATCTTCAAGTTTAAAGTACTTACCAGGGTGTAGTAATTAATCAATTGATATTAAATTTGTTAAATCTATGTTGAAAAAAATTACAAAGTTTCTTATCTGAGAAATTATTAAAAAGCCTGAAAAACTTACTTAAAAAATGTTATGAAAAAATTCAGTAAAGAATAAATGGTTCACCAAAATATGCACCAAGAGAAAATCCAAAAAAATGACAAGAATTATCATTATAGCCACGGGTTTAAAACCCATTTGTTTTTTATAACCTTTTTACAAACATTTAAGTCAGTTTTTATCGGAACTTTCCATAAAAAGTAATCCCCCACCAGTAAAAAGTTGTATTAATTTAAGATTAAAATGTTAAAAAACATTTTCAATTTAAAATCCAGCCTGCATTAAGTATTCTTCAAATTTGTCCATATTGTCCAGCAATCGTTGTCCATATCAATACGAATTAACATATTGACATTGATGACAAAAACAGATCTGATAATTTAAATTGATAAAAGAACAAATTCGATTGCAGCAAGCTCGCATAAATCGCTCGCAAGTGATTTAAGGCCAAGGGAAATTCGGCTGGCAATGACTTTATTTATTTGTTAAATGAAAAATGAAGGATTTACGCAGGCAGAAAGTACATAATTGATGGCCAATTTAAGTGATATTTTGGCCCCGTTGCTGTGGCCGAGCTGTGCTGTGTTTGCATGTATTAATGCGGTTGCATCTCCACTGTTTGCTTACAGATTGCGGCATGGTCGGCGGCGAGGTGCCACCGCATTACTGGGAGACCCCGTACTCGCAGCCGTACTTCGACAATTCCTCGAGGCGCGAGGTCACCGCAACCGTGGGCCAGGCGGCCCTGCTCCACTGCCGCGTCCGGAATCTGGGCGATCGAGCGGTAAGTGCTGGGGTCAGGACACCACAAGACTGGGCACGGCTGGGCAGGACACTCGGGGGAAAGGAAAGGAAGGGAAGGGAAGGGGGAGCCGAGCAATTAATGTTACCATGCCCGAGGGACCTCGACATTATATTCGCATAAGGCATAAGGCAAAACAAACGACCTGCGGCGGTCGTGTGGCAGATTTGTAGATTACTTTTAAAAGATTACGCCATAAAGTTGGTGGTTGGGCCCCCATTTGACTCCCTCTTTCCCTCCCCCTTATCCCGTTATGTGTCTGTGGGTTGAATGCGCTCCAACACCCAATAGCAGTTTGTGTTTGGCTTGCTCTGGTTTGCACATTTGTAACACGGCTTCGCTTCCGCTTCGGGCGATTTGTTAGCAATGCAACAACACGGACCTATGTGCCCCACCTTCCTGATGCCCCCCACTAACCCCCAACCCCCGACCCCCAACCCCTGACCTCTGAGCCTTAATACTCCCCTTTCGCCCTCCCCTGAATCTTTTGTCCCAAGCAAGCGCTCTGTGGCTGTGCAATTATGCGGTGTAATAAATTTCACGTTGTCCGTGTCTTCGCCCCTTCGCTTTCCCCGGGAAAACCCCGCCCGCCATCCACACGATTTTCCAGGAAAGGACAACGATGTCAGTGGCGCCCGAAACTTTCAGCAAGTCGGTTGAATTGAGTAATTAACGCCCGGCTGGAGGAGAAGCGCAGCCCGATTCCATTCGGAATTGTGTCCCTCTAATCCTTGGGCCCAGGCATTGTCTTCCGTTATATGCGCCTAATTGGCGGTGTCTCCAGCACGTTGCATTCAACATTCAGCATTCAACGTTCAACGTTCTACATTCCCACATGCCACATTTCACATCCCGCATGCTGCAAACTATTCCCTGATTCCGGGATCCATTCTCCAGTCACTCAAGCTCAAAGTTCTCGTTCAAGTTTCGTGCTAATTGATTGTCGCAATATGTGCACGACATGAAAATTTGCCTCTTAATGGAAATTTTTGCATTTCGTTGAATACTTCGAGGGGGGCAGACTCAAAGGAAAAACCGAAGGAAAAGTAAACGAAGCTTAATCGCTTTCGGGGAATGTAGTTCAAGTGGGGGAAACTAGTTTAGTGGGTAGTTGGTTTTTTTCCTTCTCGATGGGTTCTCTTTTAATAGGAAAATTTCCAAGGGAGCAAGCCATTTTCTGATTTAATTTGAAAATTCATTTCTCTTCAATTGTTTGGTTTCTTGTGATTGCTCTGTTACTTTGTCCTTAATGTTTCGAATTAAATTATCACTCATATTAAGAGATTTTTCTCCACTTACTGAGTACATATTAATCAAAAATGTTTCCAATAGATTAGTTTGCTACACTTTTTATTTAATTTTTTGGTTTGTATCAACCAATTATTAAATGTAATTTTTTGCACATAAATCAATCATTGTCTATTACGACCAATATAAAAAGCATACTTCAAATGTAATAAAATAATATTGGTAATTGTCTGGCTTCCTTTTTTTGCTTTTTTGCTGAAAATGTATCAACATCAGTCGGTTTTATGAATAGCTAAGTATATATTTATTTTCTGCAGTCACTCTGGAAAATTATTAATTTAACCTCCTTTTTTTGCCTTAATCAACCAATGCACATTATGAGCAGGATAAAAACTCTATTTGAAAAATGAAATTTTATTACGAATGTGTTAATTGTTGGGTTCCCTTTTGTGTGGCTTTTCATGAGCCAATCCAATAATGACGGTGTTAACCGGAGACTCGCCTTGAACTTTTTCGCACTGGGGAAATGCAATTAATTTTAATTGAATATTGGAAATTAGCGAACGGTTAATGAATGTATTTTCGTTTAAATATAAATCAAGCGGGTTCTTTATGAGCACTAATCCATAATTAATTGGACCCAAACAAACGAGCAAATTAAGCACTGCACAAAGCGAATGCTTTACTACGTTTTCTCCCTCTTGGCAGAGAAATCCTCGTACACGAAATCCCGAATGTATATAAAACTATTCCGAGTTGAGCCCCACTAAGTAACCCAATTGCAGCCATAAATTAGAGTCCAGACAAAAGCCGAAACAGGCAATTAATGAATTTCTAGTTGCCACGCCCCCATTACCGCCCACAAAATGGCAAAACTTTGCGGCAACCATTTAAAGTTGCCCAATTTGCCAAGCATCCTTCAGGTGGAGCAATTCTGGCAAGGAAGCGAAAGGAGCACAAAGACCAAGTGCCAGGAATCCTTTTAAGCCCCAACACACTTTTGTTGCTCAACAGAAATCCAGCTAATTATAAGAACATATAAAAGAGCATTTCAGTTATTATTTTGGGGATTAGCCATGCAAAACTATTTGATCGTACGCCTCACTGAATATTAAGTGGAAAGTTTTTATTTCATCGCCTAAACTTTTTGGCAAATATAAATTCTTTCCTAGGAGAGACGTCAAATGTTCTTTGCTTCAATAAGTCAAAACAAGTTGAATTCTATTGGCATCAACTTAAATTAAAATGTTCAAACATTCTTTTTGTGCACATGCATAGGCAGCTTGTTTTTGTTTTTCCTTTATAAATATTTAATTATATCTAATGACAGATTAGCTTTGATTATCTCAATTTGGTTTGAATTTAAGTGCAAATTATACACTCCTTTCGTGCAAAGTTCACTTTGCATCATAATATATAATGTATGTGTGCACGATATAGAAACATTTTCATAATATTTATAGTGAGCCACTCCCCTTTAAAGCACGGAATAATTTTTCATCTAAAGCTTTGACAGCTGCATGCAGTTTTTCATGCCGGAAAAGCGGCCCAAAACTGCCTTTTATTAAATTTGTATTCTCGTTTTAAAGAATATGTAGGTCAACTTTTTCTTTGCGCCAAGTGGTTACGAAAGTTAGATTGAATAAAATTTTACTTTACAAAAAACCAACGCAATTTCACAGTCAAAAAATGTTGAGGCCAAATAATTGAAAATTGTTGAAAAGGGAAGCAGTTAACTTTGACTCGCAGTCAAATGTAGTCCAACCTCAAAGACAAAAATGTTTTCCATAAAAATATTTGTTATGTTCAGTTTATAAAAAAAACATTGTTTAAGGCAGTTGACAAGAACTTTAGAGCTGATTTATGAGAATATGAAAACCAAATAGAGAAGCCATAAAAAGGAAATTAATTTTTACATATAAATCATATTTTTAAGGAAAACAAATGTTTCCGTATATTTGTAAAAGTTTTAAGTGGTAAAATAAGTATAATACGAGGGAACTAAAATAATTTATTATTAGTCTTATAACTTAATAATTTCTTTCATTTCATTATTTTTAAAGGCCTTAATAAGAAACATAATAAGTTGCTGCTTTCTATTTTTTTTGGTATAGATTAAATTTCTTGGGTATAAGTATGTAAATATTGCTTTTAAATTCAGTATTCTATACGTTGTCTTTTATATTTATTTCTGTTGCATAATAGCTTCTGTTGGCGAGTGGGCTCCCTTTGCTGTAATTCCCGCAGAATTATGTCTTAATATTGTGTGGGCTTAATGTGTGGGTGTTGTAACGACCTTTTCCTGCTCCGCCAGGTGTCGTGGATAAGGAAGCGCGACCTGCACATCCTGACGGTGGGCATCCTGACCTACACGAACGACCAGCGCTTCCAGTCGCTCCATTCCGAGGGCTCCGATGAGTGGACGCTGCGCATCTCGTCGCCGCAGCCGAGGGATTCGGGCACCTACGAGTGCCAAGTGTCCACGGAGCCGAAGATCAGCCAGGGCTTCCGCCTCAACGTGGTGGGTGAGTATCCCAAAAACAAAAACCAAAAAAAGATGAAAGGAAGGAAGGATGGAAGGAAGGTGGAAAAAAGGGGAGGGCTGTCAGCTGGACATTAAGTGGGCGGAGTGCTAATTAATGGCCTGCCCCGTGTGGCTTTTTTATTACCTTTTCGCCATTTTGTAGTGTCGCGGGCCAAGATCCTCGGGAACGCGGAGCTCTTCATCAAGAGCGGCAGCGACATCAATCTCACCTGCCTGGCGATGCAGTCGCCGGTGCCGCCATCGTTCATCTACTGGTACAAGGGCAAGCGGGTCATGAATTACTTGCAACGCGGCGGCATCAACGTCATCACGGAGCGTTCCACGCGCACCAGCAAGCTGCTCATCGCGAAGGCCACGCCCGCCGATTCGGGCAACTACACGTGCTCCCCCAGCAGTTCAGGTGGGTTTCCCCAACCTCAACCCTCCTTTTCCCTTCCCCTCCCCCTCTGGAATACTCGGAAAATTTGATTGCCAAAGAGGAGATTGCCAAACTAAATGATTAAAAAGTCCTGCTTCACAAGTAGTTTTACTCCCCTTTCTGCGCAAAGATTAATTTATAATTTAAGAAAACTTTGCGAAAGTCTTAAGAAGTTCTTCAATTTTTAATTTGAACACATTCCCAGAATCCGTCTAAAAATAGCAGGAATCTCTTTTGAACTTCTGAGCCATTCGGAAGTGATATTAAAACTTGAGTGATTGTGATTGTTCATTAGGCAGAGTTTTCTTTGGTGGGCGAACAAAGCTATTGATACCTTTCAAAAATAACTCGCTGCCTCTTGTGCGTCAGCAATGCTAATGGGTGCTGTCGACCAATCCCCGATTTAGCCATCACATATAGCTATTAACCTTTAGAGTGCTTATTTCCGTGTAAACTTTGTCAGCTATTTAAACATTGTGATAATTACATACGAGTACCTCGGGGCGTTAAAAGTAGCGTAGGCGTTAAATTGTTGGTTCGATGCCTAAAAATAAAGTGAGGGGTACCTAGATTTGTTTAAGCAAAGTAAACAACTAAATACCAAAGAACTTGTGGTTAATTCGAGCTTATAATTAAATGTATTTAATACTTCAGAGCTTAGAGTCTGTTTAAAAGAAGCTTAAAATGTAATTTATAATTTATCAAGACCTAATGAAAGTTTAGAAATAATTGTAATTTATTCAGGAGCAGATTGCGCACGCTTCGTACGTTAAATTTTAAATTGTTTGGCCTAAAACCCATCGGGCGACGCAAAATATGTTGCCATTTTTCAATATAAATTCCCCAGTTGCGTGGGTTCAGCGTATCGAATTTTGCGAGTGCGCCACGGGCGATTAATGGGACTTTTGCGACCCGCGGCACTTCCACATTGCCACATTCATTTCCCGCTTACCACCGCTTCCACCTCTTCCACCGCTCGTTGCAGATTCCGCCTCGGTGGTGGTGCACGTCATCAACGGCGAGCATCCGGCCGCCATGCAGCACGGCAACAGCAGCGCCAGCTGCCTGCGCCTCCTTCCAGTGCCTTTCGTCCTTGCCACCCGGCTGTCGATGGCGGTGGCGGCTCTCGCCTGGAACAGCAACTTCAACTGCAACTTCAACCTGAACGGCAACTGGAACTGGAGTCCCGACTGGCGCTGGCACTGGAATGTCAACCGGAACTGGAGCTGGAAGTGGGGCAACCTGCTCGCCAGTCTAATTGGACTGTGGACCTGGAGCTGATGCGGCTGAAGGATCCAAGTCAATCCAAAAATAAACAACCAAAAACGCTGAGCGAAAGGTCCCGGCCAAGTTGGGACTGCATAAAATGGATGGCTCCTCCCCAGGTGCATTTAATGGAAGCGGAGGAGGAGCGTCTTACGAACTAGTGTACATATACAGTGTGTCCTTTAACGAGTATTATCTATAAGACATCCCCGAGAGCAGGCAGGCAGTATTACCAAGGAACTTTTAATCAACCAACCAAAAACACACACAGTCAACAGGAAGTGTCCAGGCAACAAGCACTATATCCACTACCCATTAAAATTAACAAACCAAAAATAAGGAAGGCTAAAATAACAACAGCAGCAGCTGTTTGTCATTCACCCAAAAAACTTAGCTGTGTTGTCATTGTATTTCATTTGAAATTCATTTGGTTCCACACACAAGGTTATAATCATCATCACAAACCGGCCAAAAGTCAGCAATTATTGAAGGAAACCTTCGGGTTTTACAGTATCATTTGGGCTCACTGAAGCAGAAATGTCCGATTGTATATAAGATACACAAACATCTACATTATTTAGGCCTTCGATTGTTTATTTATTTATACCGGAAAATCATACAACCTGCACGAGGAAACGTTGAGAGATCGGGGGAAAAGGTAACCCCGGCTATATATAGATGGTTATTCAGTGTATATGGATAAGTTTTTATCTGGTTGTCAGCCGCGAAATTGTTCTACGTAGTCCATCATCTAGTTACTGTGTAAAATATTCATACTTGATAATTGTACATTTAGAGGTCGGTTTTAAGCGGTCTTGATAAGACTTTTAAGCAGTAAGCTGGAATGGATCCGATCTCGGTTCCCCAAAAAAAAAAAGGAAAACGAGAAAAGAAAATATATAGTAAATGAAATTACAGAAATTATTAAACTAAACGAAAACGATAAATGAAGCTAACCTAAGCAGAGTCAAGTATGTTTTTCTGTTTAAACAAAGCAAAAATAAACGAACAATGTTTCTCCATAATAAATGAAAATATGGTTATGGTTAAAAAAAAAAACAAACTAAAAGCAGCGAGAGCAGCGAATGTTTTCTCATTTTAATATGGGGTTCATGTGGCAGCTTAACGCGCCACATAATGGGGCACGGATATTAAGGGGGCAAAGGGGGGATATGAAAGTTTTTATCCTATTATGGCAGCATTTAATTAACGTCCGATTTGGTGGCCCGTACGCGTAGCCGAATCGCTTCGATCATCTTCATTATGCATACGCAACGTTGGCCCGCAAATCCGACAGCTACTGGCCACATTCGGTGGCAGCCACAATCCATGGCATCCACCAAGGCCTCCGCCGCAGCCGATGTGCCCCCGAAAATGAAAGACTAATTAAGCGGCTTATTTGCGCGTATTAATAGACCGACTTGTGGTCAGCTCAGCATGTGTTATATATACTATATACGATACGATATGTTATGTTATGTGTTGTTATGGTTGTTCCAACAAAAAGTGGAGTTTCCAACTAGCAACTAGCTGCGGAGTGGCTAAACCAACATGTATTTATATTTCGATTTAAAAATAGCAAAAAAGCTACCCCCACGCAAACAGAGACACCAGCTATACACACATTGAAATGGACTTATAACACTGTACCGTGGCTTACGTGACGGGGATTTGGCTGGAGTGGCAGAGGTGGGTATGGGGATCCACAAAAAAAAAGGGTGCAAAAGTCAAAGGAAAATAAATGGTTTTTCAGCTTTTATTTACTCGAGAGCAGAGACTTTCGCCCAGAAATGGGAAAAAGGGAATGCAGCCAAGGATGATGCGGCAGTGGAATCAATGTAAAGGTCACAATTTATTCAATTGCCTTTTGCCAGGATATTTTTATGGCGTGTTCATGTGCCTGGACACCCGCTCCACTTGGCCAGCAGCAGCAGAAGAAGACCAGAAGAGCCAGACCTAATCCCAAATCACAACGGAATTACAAACTGGTAATGGTTATGTGGCGGAAGAAGAGGAAGCAGCAGCATGAAGAAGGTTTCTGGGAGCCGAGACCTTTGGCCCCCAAACTCCCGGCACATAATGGCCAATTGATAGCCAAAAGGCATTAACACGCCAAAGAAATTCCCCAGGCTAAAACAGAGATGTTGCCAAAAAAGCCAGCAAATTTCCAGCTAGCACATACACATAGTCACTAACACACACACACATACGGTTGGCCCAAAGGAACGAGACAGTAACAACAACAACAACAACTCAAACAACAAGAGAAGAGACGGGAAAATATTAAGTTCAAATGTAGCAGAAATCCAAAATACGTGCCATGACATAGAAAACAGCATTGCCAAAAAGGGAGAGGGGATTGCTAGGGGGGAGGGGATGGTCGGAGGAGGAGACAGGGGGGGAGGGAATATGGGACAACGTAACCAATCCCTGGGCCACGCCCCCTTTGGAGCCACCTCCCCTAAATGAAACTAACTCCCCTGTTTAGGTGCGGCGTGCGTGCGTGAAGCTAAAATCACGTCCCATTCGATGCGTTGCCTTCGCCACGAGAATTTATTGGGGAAGGGTCGAAGAATTCATACATCGATATTTTCAGTACCCACCTGATGTATTATAAGTGTATAAATGCGGGTACATCGGCAAAAAAAAACAGCATGTTATAAATTCAGGAATTGATATATTTACGAGAGCCACAACTCTGGTCGGATCAATTCTGATAAGAACGATGTGTCCTTCCTTTTTTGTTCGTACATCAGAGTTGTAGAAATTTAAACATTAATTTAAATTCAACTTTTCCAATATTTTGAAGGAAAAATAAAATGCTCAGGTACAGGTTGAATTCATTTGAGGATGACTAGCTACAAAAGTGTTGACAGTAGATAATCTCAATCACATTAATCACATTAAAATTCCCATCTCATTCGTATTTACTTTGGTTGTCCTTGACGGTGTCCCTTCCTTCCTGATGACCAGTGGTGCAATGGATTCCACCTCAATCTCTGGAAAAACCAAAACCACAAACGCCACAGCCTCTGCAGCTGTCAACACCAATAATGTTTCTTCTTAATTGGGAGAGATATCTACTTACCTCTATGATGAATACATTTAAGCAACTTCGAATAACAACCACATTTCGTTTTGTTCGTCATTCTAAAAATAAGTGTGAAAGAAGGCCATGGATTGATTAAGAGCTTTTAATCTACGGATATCAAATAAATAAATTAAGGCCTTTTCCGACTTCGTGTGTTAATTACAGATACGCTTTACCAAACATGTTCCATTTGTAATTTAATCATTTGCCATTCAATCAGGCTTAGACATACTAAATCAGCACTTTGTCAGTCACTAAAATAAATTTCAATTAAACTTTTTAAGAATAGCCGATTAAGTTCATTTCTAATTGAGTGTCTCACTTGTATTACTTATTTTCTCTGTGTAAAAGAATGGCTAGTGAAAAATTCAATATGAATTGGTGGCACCGAGTGGGGGGACATCGACAAATGGCCACCCGTCTCGTAAGCGGATGAAAATGACTTACGCATTGAGACCGGAGCAACTTACCTGGCCAGAACTGGTGGACTCTTAAAAGCGTTAAATATTTTACGATATGTGCAACTTGACTCTGCCTCTCAACTGGCTTCCTTTCACCCACTTCCCGCTTTCCCTCATCTCCACACTTTCCGCACTTTCCCCACTTTCCACTTACGCCCACTTTAGACCCCTTTTCCTTCGCTTCGGCTGCTCTTGGCTCAAAAACGTACGAGTGGCGTAGTTAATGGCTCAGAAGCGTACGAACGAATGAAGTGCAACAACAACTGGGCCAACAACAACAACAACAGCAATAACAAAAACAACAAGAACTATAGGAGGAACTAGGAGAAAAATAGCAAATAAATTTATGAAATTTTCATCAACATTTCTGACAACAACAAACAAAATTCAAGACGCAGCGGGCGGTGGGCGAAGAAAAAACATTTGTAAAATGGTATATAGCATGGAAATTGTTTAAATGCATGGAAAGTGCTCAAGTGCGATAGGAAGCTGGAGTACGTAGAGGAAAACCACAGACGCACCGGAAAAAATAGAGTGCTCTCAATAAGACAGGCAGTCAGAGCTGTCAATTTTGGTCACAACACTATCGTTTCGTGAAAATATTAAAATAAATTGTTTACTCTGAGATCCATTTATTAAACATGTTTTTGTGGTTAACCTAATTGAATTTAATGCCTTGAGGCTAAAAGTTTTTATTAAATCATCAGATAAAAAGCTTTACCATTTTTATTTCTTTTTGCATTAAAATTAAACAAACTGCTTCAGATTGCACACTCTAACAACCCGTGTAATCGACTACAAATATTCTAAAATTGAACAATATACCTTAAGCATATCTAAATAATCGTTATCCGTATAAAGCCCTTATTGGCAATAAAAAATCATCAAATTAAATCACGTTTTTTGCCGTGCCGGGTAAGTTGGGGAAATCAAAGAAGAAAAACCAGCCAGGCACGCCATGGCAAATGGAAAACGCAACAACAACAACGACACTGGCTAATGAAATCTCTCAAGTGCATGGAAATTGCTAATCGGATGTGTGTGTGCGTGCGAGCGAGAGGGATGAATGGAGGGGATGGTGCGAAAGAGACCGAAGTGTCGGAAATGATATTTGAAGGGGGAAAAAAGGGAAGGGAAGGGGAAAATGGAACTGAAATTCAAGTGAAATTACTGTAGCCAATTGCATGGAAACTACGCACAGGATGCACTGAAAAGTTCGGAAAGTTGCAACAGTAGTTAGCAAGGGATTAAGCGAATCAAAAACAATCAGATAATCCCAAGCCCAATTCACAACCCGGATTCCTTCCCCCAGAGAAATTACAAATGAATTAAGCAGAAAACTTTTGGGGATAATTTCTCAATTTCAAGCCCCCATACTCGAACTTCTTCGAATTGCGTCTTCGACTCGGATGATTTATGATCCGAAATCCGCATTTGCATAGATACATTTATCTATACTCGCAGGTAAACAAAAGGACGATGCCAACAAGCCCCCATCTTTTGGGCCATCCGATTGTTTGTTTAGCTTGAAAATGGGCGGATATGGGGGTTTTAACGGTAATGTTAACGTTACCGGTATTCGGTATTTGGTATTTGGTATTGGGTATTGGGTATTAGGTATTCGGTATCGATATCTGTATCGGCATAATCCCCCCGGCTTTCCATATTGTTTCTGACAGCAGATCAATCGAGTGTAAAATGTTTCAGCTGCCGCATTCGGTTTATCGGGTATCTCCATTATATTTAGCCGATAATTGGCCCACAAGCGGGTGGGCGCACCCCGCATTGCCGCTCCCCAAGATCCAAGGATAACTTTATAAAGTGCTGGAGCACAAGGTGAGATTGCGTTAGGAGCTGTCAATGAATGGACCGAAGTCAAGACAAAGGAACCACAAAATTGCTGAGAGTTTTCAAAGCAAAACAATGGCACCACTGGCAACGGCAAAAGGGGGGTTTTTCAAGGGGATTCGAGTGGGGTGAGGGGGAGGGGGAGGGGTAAGGGGGTCAATTTCGACCAGCATAGCAAAGCAGCCACTTGTGGAAAAGGGGCGGTTGTCCTGAGGGGGCGGGCCATGCAGGTGGTAAGGCAAGCAATGTCAGTTTGTCCCTACAATTGGCCCAAAGCATTCTATTGTGAGAAGCAGACCCCCCCTTTCCCCTTTCCCCATTTTCCCCCTCGGGCTGCTTCATTCCCTGTTCTGGCTGCTTTTCCTGCTCATGTTACCCGCTAGCCGCATCCTTTTCCCACACTTCAACACAGAGAGTAAATAATAAATATTTTTACTGCAAATTCAGAGTCAGAATAAATTAGTTTTCCAAATTTGATGTTTATGTACTTAACACATGTACATGTTAAAACGATTCAACTGCTGTTTGGGATAACCTTTATATGGTTGAGCTATTTTTTTAATAAGACAGAAACTAATTTGTAGGAATTCATAAAAATCTAATTATTAATTAATTAACTTTAA